GAAAAGTGGAGTATAATGTCAAGAAGTTCACTAGATAGTACCAGTACCAGTCTCACAATCAGCTCAAGTTCAAACTCGCTAAATTATTCAAATAATGCCGCTGCTGCAACAAGTAGTGCTAGTGATGCAGTTGAACCAGGAGTTGGTGGCGTACCTAATCGCTTTCTTGGAATAACACCTGTTTATTTATGGCAAAATCAGCTTCAGCATACGTTTTCAATGGTATGATAACTCTATGATGTTACTTGCTACACGAACTTTTCACTTGGGTATGCCCAAGGTATGGATGTAAACCCAATTTGGATTTTTTTATTCTGACGAAAGAAGTTAACTATTTTCCAAAATAAATAATATAAAAAAGGTGATTTTGTGTTAGTAAATATCATTTAAATATATTTAAAATTATAAACTATAAATTAAAAAATTAATAATTTAATTAATATATAAAATTATATTAAAAAGTGATTCCTGATTTTTTTTTTTTTTAATTTCTGCATTGTCCTTCATGATTAGGAGGCACGGAGAGGACTCCGTGAAGGGTAAACATTTTGGCTTGCTTGTAGCTTTTGTAGAATTGTTTTCTTTTCCCATATATATATTCTTTTCGGTTGGCCCGAATTATAGAATTGTACTTTGAATAAAATTTTAGCAAAAAAAGTTGAATTAGAATCCATAAGATAATTATAAAAATTTTAAATATCATTTAATTTTAATCAATTAATCAATTAAAATTATTTATGTGATAATAATGTTAAAATAAATATTATTTTTAAAAAAAATTTCATATAAATTAATTGCAAAAATATACATTTAATATACCCTCAACTTAAATTACAAAATAAAAAAAAACTTATTAATTTATCCTTATATAATTAGCAGAATTCGAAAGTTAGCCGTACGTGTATTCTATCGTACAACAATTTGAACATGTAACGTTCTTTGTTTTTAATTCGGCTTTCAAATTGAATAGAAGCCAATTGCGTCACTATTTTCCAATATTCCAATGCATGTTCACGTGATACTGAATTTTTAGGCCCAAAAACTAGATCAGGTTGCAAATTTATCATTTATGGCCATAAAAACTGGAAGCATAGAAACCATGAACACCGCAAAGTCATGAAATTGTTCAAGCCTTCATAACAGCTGAAATCATGTGAACGAAACACACCCAAAATTGACAAAGTCATGCCTGAAATAAGACGGCACCGTCTCTTTAATTTCTATGATATACACTGTCCATTGTTTCCTTCCATATCCATTAACTTAATTAATTTTGCTGGCCATTGTTTGCTTCCTTATCCGTTAACTTAATTTTGCCGTAATACTTATCAATAAAACGCGTTAATCTTCAATCTTCTATCCCATTTCATACCACTTCTTCCTGTTCTTAGAGTAGTTCTTATAAGAGCTGCACCTGGCCTCCTGGACCCCTTGGTAAGGTGCAATATGCCTTGGTTGTGACCAAGTTTCTAGTCCCAGCTAGCGCTGTGGGCTTTATTCACCATCCCTCAAT